CGGGGCCAGGCCAGCCCTGAGCACTTGGCGGGCGCAGACAAATGCCCCCGTGGGCGCCATGGCGCCCGCGGACACCGTGCTGGGGACCACGGCCCTATAGTTTACTTGGCTTACTACAGCTTTGAAACTTTTATTATGCAAAAGGAAAACTTTTACTTTTATTATCTTAATTTAAATTAAACATGCACAGAAACAGTTTCCGGGGCCAGGCCAGCCCTGAGCACTTGGCGGGCGCAGACAAATGCCCCCGTGGGCGCCATGGCGCCCGCGGACACCGTGCTGGGGACCACGGCCCTATAGTTTACTTGGCTTACTACAGCTTTGAAACTTTTATTATGCAAAAGGAAAACTTTTACTTTTATTATCTTAATTTAAATTAAACATGCACAGAAACAGTTTCTTTACCTCGTCATTAAAAAAAAAAAGTTGCTTTTTAAAATAGTTCGACATAATACCATAGACTACATCTACAATACAAAGCTTTTGTGCAAAAATAGCTGGTTTTGCGCAAAACATGGCAGTGCGTTCAGACCTCAAGCGCATTTTTGCGCAAGTAAATTAGCAGACCAGAGGGCTTTTGCTGGTAGAGTTATTCTCATTTTGTGCTTTGAGGTCTGAATGTGCTTTTGTGCAAGAAGTTTTTGCGGAAGATCTCTTCTGCAAAAAGCTTCTTGCGGAAAAATCCTGCAGTGTAGAAGAAGCCATACTGTATTTTCTCTCTCTTGCTGCCTGATTGCATACTTCAGTGCCAGACAAGGAGTGTGCTTGACTCGTCAATTCATAATTCAGAGAGTCTACTGTATAGAAATATCTCTTGCAGTAATGAGACTATGGGTGGGATTTCGCAGCAATGTCTACTGAGCTAGACCAACAGAGTACTTTTTCTGAAAGTCCCACATGAGTCCGCTCCTCCTCCAGACTTTTAAGCTACAACCTAAATAAAATTGGCTTGATTTTTCTCAAAGTGCTGAGCACCTGAAGTTCCTGGCTCCATATCAACCATTTGTACATCTAATCCCCAAGTTAAGAAGAAGTATTAGTATCTCAGAACAGTTATATCGGAGATGCTAAATTCCTTGCGCCTGTATTTCTCCATGGTATGACTGATGGTATGCTGTTACATGTTCTACAGTTTCTATATCTACTCTTTCTGTGTTGGAGCTCTAAATCCATAACAAAGAGCCCCTATTAGTATTTGTGCATTTCTCCTATTAAGGAGGATAGACAAAATTTATTAGTATGGAAAATGCAGTGGATCACAACAGAATGGAAATAATCAGGGCTCGACAAACAATACAATCTACTTGCCCATGGCGATTAGAATTCAGCCGCGTGCCCCGTTCATCTGCAGCGCACACATGCGCAGTACGGGACTGGCGAGTGGTTTTCGCCACCATTCGTCAAGCCCTGGAAATAACCAACTTTTGGAGGGAAGGAGAAGAAGCTGAAGGCTAGTAGCTAAATTCAAGATAAGGCAAGTTCTGTAAACTTGTGTCTATGTAGAAGCTAGTTTATATTTTGAAATTAAATAGGTTTAGCACATCTCAAATCTTACACTAAAAATACTTTACAATCCTCTCAAGATCTTAAAAATACCAAGATTAAGAGCTAACGACAGTGCCCAGAGTAACATAAGCTTTTTCCCTAAGCTCAACTCACTAATAACGCAGCTAATGAACCAGCAGAGTAACCAGGAATATTCCCTGAGATAGCTCTGCAATAAAAAAAAAGAAATGTGACAGTCAACACCGTATTGTGTAGTCCAAATCCTACAACATTAATCACACTTGTTTCTACAGATGTTAAGAGGTGAGTAATTGGATAGTTGATATGATCTGTATCAACAACACGATTAGTCGATAAGGGAAGGCACGCCAAAGGAGCTACCCCTGCTGCAGCTCTGCAGTATAAATGTAGTAAGAGCCGAGCACGCAGGCAGCCCAGCTCCTACAACATTTAAACTGCAAAGCTGCAGCAGGGGTCGCTCCTGGTCCCAGCATGAGCCAGGCTTGCTCAGTCCTGGCTTACGCTGGGTCCAACAGCCCCTGTCCGTGGAGGGTCTTATGTCCAACAGCCCTGGCCGTCATAAACAGAGGCTGCTCCAGCAGCAGCCTCTGTCCGTGACCAGCCTTACCGTAGCTGGCCATGGAGGGGTCCCAACTCTTAGGGTTATCGGGTAGTTCAGTAACCGACTACTCTTTCACATTCCTAGCACAGGGTCCAGGTTCATGCCCACACTCAGACAGCATTTGCTCCCGATCAAGTGCAGTGATGAGGAGGAAACGGATATCATGCATGGGAACCTGCTAGGAGGATGAAGAGGTGGGGAACCCATTAGCTCTCTCTCTCCAGCAAGTGGCATCTGCCATTCACACATATCTCCCTCAACCCAGCAGGCAGGGATAAAAGTTCTGTTTGCAGGACGCTACAAGTGCAGGACCTAGTGCTTGTGGGACACAGACGGAAGCTAAGCCGCCCCATCTGTTCCGCCTGCAGGCTCCTGGCCTGGCTGGCACCTTCCCATACCAGTTTGTCCCCAGGCTGTGTGTGTTGCCATGCTCCCCTGGGATGTCTGTGCATTTACTGTATAGTGCCTGCTTCATAGGAAACACATATGGTCTTGCTCGAAACACATCCCCTTTGTCTGAACTGAGACCTTCCATGTCAGCTCAAAGATTAGGGCTAAGCTTTATACACAGTGTCTCCTATGACGACTGTCCTTGTAACTTTTCTTGTCCCCTACCTCCCACTGCATCTATCCACCTGAGCGGGATTCTCAGGTGGAAAAGAACTTGGGACAAGCTCACGAGGGAGCAGATGGTCTGTCTGCAGTCCCTCGTGCAGGGACTCAAGGCAGAGTGCCAGGAGCATGTTGCCAAGCGAGAAGAGTGGCAGGCTGACCAGGAGGAGAGAAAAGCTGCCTGGGAAGAGCTGGCGCACCAGCATGAGGATGTTTCCCACACTCACTTCTGCTATGGAGTGGGCCACCAGTCACCTCCCACCCACCTGATGGCTTTCCCTGCAAAAGTCCCCAGGGACTGACAGGGACCCAGAACATGGGGGGAGGAGGGAAATCTCTAGGGCAGCCGGAGCCTCCAGGCTACCTGGAGGCAGATGCCAGTCCCAGCCCCATCCCTGAACTCCCCTCCCTGAATCCAGGTTATTTTCCCATTCCCTACCCTGTTGTATGTCCCCAGAATAAAGACTTCAAGTTGACCAAGAACAATCTCTTCTGTATTTACTCTGCAAGAGAGGGGAGGTGTGGGGGATGAAAGACACATACAGGGAATGTAGGGGTCCCTTGTGGAGAGTCTCAGAACTGGCGATGTGTGGTGGGGTTGGCATACCCTACACTGTAGCAGGGGGGATTAAAACCCTATGGGTGGAGGAAGTCCCAGGGTCCATGCTCCTCATCCTATAGGAGCAAAATGTGGGCATTTGCAATGTATCGCACCATGAGGCACAGCACAAGAGCCATGAGCATGGCATTTGCAGCAGTTCTGGCTCCTTGAGGGCAGGGCTGTGGCATCCTCATTGGCAACCCAGAGCACAACAAGGTGCATGTCCACAGTTTCCCTTTTCTGTACCGCAAGGGGGGAGGGAACGGAGGAATGCCTTGTGAGACGTGAGTATGAAGAGGAGCCCCTGTAAGCACCATCGCAGTTGTCATGAGGGTTAGCCATCAGCCTGGGGACTAAGGGGTTAACTATGTCCCTTACTTAACCAGGTAGATTCAGCCAACAGGAATGCAAGTAGGAATTTCAAACTGGGATAAAGGAATTTTTGGGTTTTTCCCTCCTTTGTTCAGGGAGTTCTCTCCCCAGCTATTGAAGGGGACAGGATGGCTCCCTTTAAGAAAATACTCTTCACAGTCTGTAAGTAGGATAAAGTTTAGATAAATCTGTTAGGTTTTATTGTTTTATGGTTTAGGAAATGGGATCTGATGTCTGTGCATTTAAAAATGGGTTTTGCTCTCCTTTGTAACTAAGTTCCTGGCCCATGGTAAATTTCTGCTCCATGAGTATATTATTTTGTTAATGACTAGATGGAAAAGTATTCTTGAAACAGAAATATTGTGGTGATAATAAAAGTTCTTTTTCTTTCCCTTTTATTAACCTGGTATTGGTTAAAGGTTGTGTCCTAGTTTCTACTTTAGGGGTGAGATTTCCCAAGTGATCTTTCCCCTGATTTTTGTATCAATACTTGGGTTGTTGCAGTGGAGATTTTATTCCCAAAAATCTAGGTTCAAATTCTGGAGGGGGGGGGGGGGGGCCAAAGCCTGGTAGATAAGGTTTTGGGGTACTTTTACTGGCCCCCACTTCTGCACTTATGCCAGAGTAAGGAAGGAGTCATGATAAGCTATGACAGCAGTTTTATGGACCAAGCAGCCACAGGGAATATTGAGTATCTGCCCTCTTGGCACCTCCCCAGATTGCTTCTGTGGCCTCTAACTCGGAGGGAGGCTCTGTTTAATAATGTGGTCATGCTATTTTGGACTAATTTCAATGCTTCCCCATAATGAGAACACACAAGTGGGGAGATGGATAGCTCAGTGGTTTGAGCATTGGCCTGCTAAACTCAGGGTTGTGAGTTCAATTGTTGAGGAGGCCATTTAGGGATTTGGGGCAAAAATGGTCAGGGATGGTATTTGGTCCTGCTGTGAAGGCAGGGGACTGGACTTGATGACCTTTCAAGGTCCCTTCCAGCTCTAGGAGATAGGTAATCTCCATTTATTTCTAAGTTTGAATGTGTTAAATTGGGAGTCCTTAAGTTGAATCTAGTCAATTTGAAATTTCCTAATGTAAAGATGGCCTCAGTCAATATATGGAATGCTTTCATAATGATGTCTGTATTTACTTCAGTGGTATAATTCTGGCAAGTCAGAACAGATATTTTTACCAGGAGGGATTACTATTAAAAAAGTAAGAAATAGCTGCACATTTTGCACTTAACTTATAAGAGGCAAGAGCCCAGACTATCACCACCATCAGAATGCAATCTTAGTACCCTCTCAAATGGGTACTACTTCCTCAAGAGGAATTTTTCATGGAGAGGAATCCCATGGGTAGAACAAAGCAGTCCAAAGAGAGGTTAGGTAGCTTTCAGTCACTGTATTTACACACAGGACAGCAGTTTTCCAGCTGTCTTTTATTAAGCTTGAGGTTTTGATGTGCATATGATGTGGTACACTGAGGTAGCACGAGAAATGCCTTTCCTAGACTGAGTAAGGAGGAATGCAGAGGGCACCAAAAACTAGTGCATGGATTAAGCTTTTTAGTTGAGTTTGGGCAACATCTTAATAGTTAAAGTATAGTTTAAAAATAAATAGATCAATTAATACTAGTAGTAAGGGGAAACAAAGATAGCATGATATAGCCAGTCAGCACTCTACAAAATTAATTATGGCAGCACAGATCACTATTCCCATATACAGTCCTCTTTGTAAGATTAAGCTCCAGAAACTATTTTGAATAAGAGATTAGAATTAATACCTGAGGGGAGAGGAGGAATTAGATGTGGTTTTTTTTAAAACAAAGGGAAGGAGGAAGAGACATCTGAGACAGTTTTATTTTGAGTCAACTCCTTGATCAAGTATTGACATTACATAACTTGATATCATTTTGAAATGCGGAGTCCAGAAAAACCTCAAGTCTGTTATAGACTTTGACCTATATGCCACACTCCCATGGAACCAGTGGAAGTACCACAGTAGTTGAAGAGGTTTTAGAAACTTAAAAAAAGATGCAGTTTTCCAGATTTATTGGAAGAGAGTCTTACCCTACTCCCATCACCATAGCACAAGCGTTGCCAATTATGAACTAGCACAATGTTTTGATAAAAGTACTTGAAAGAGTACAATAAAAACCCTTCTGGGGAGAAGGGGTAGGATAGCTGAGTGAAAAATTCCTTCTACATAGCATATCACTCCCAGGATCCTGTGCTACCATTTAAAGAAATTTAAGGGGGGGGGAGGGGTAAAAGAAGAGCTAGTGGGACACACCTTGAGAGCAAGCAGGAGCTGCTAACAACCACAAAGACTTATTATGCCATCCATGGATCAGAGAATGTTGCGATTCCCTAGCCACACTCCTCCCAAAGCAGATAATTTTTTTTAGGAACTAATGCGATGGTTGTAAGGTCATCAGGCTTCTCACACTAGGATGTTACTTCAGTAACTGGTAAACTGGAATTAGGAGTGATCTTCAGTGGGAAAACACCACAAAGCAGTCCTAATACAGCTAAGAATTTAGCCCCAGAACTAAGCAGCTGTGCAGGACAATGCAATGAAGACAAAACAATTTCAGTGGATTCTGCTCATGGGGAATTGTTTGCAGGATTAGGGTCTAAGACAGTGTTCCCTGTAAGCTGTGCACTTGTGCAGCCAATTAGGAGAGAAGCAAATGCCACCCATCTGTTGAGCAGAGTGCCTACAGCAAGATTTTATGCACCCACTAGCAGAAACAGTCACACATGCTTTGGTGCACATAAAATATTATTCTGCACATGGCTGGGAAGGATTAGAAGGAACACTGGTCAAAATCACCACTTTTCAAGTGTTTTCTTCTGCATTAGCATTCTTACAGTTTACATTTTTGTATCGCTCATCCACAAAGCCATTATTTCACATGTTTAAGTTAGTCAAGTTGGCTCAGTGTCTTGGCACCAGAAGTTAGTTATTAGCTCCAAAGTACAGACGATCTCACCATTCATTTTATGACTAATTTTGTACTGAATTTCCCTTATCACCAGAGAAAGAGGATGATGTAAGTCTACCTAATCCAGTTTGCTCAGTTAGAGAGATTGCAGTTGCACTGTTTGGCCAGTGACCAACTACTGCCATAGTATATGCTGCACAGTCATTTACCACACAGATACTATTGGTTCCTCCTTTCAGTGTATCTGCAAGTAATGATTTCTAATACTCAAGTTCTTACAGTGGATAGCTAAGAATCTGCTTAATATTGCCATATACATTACCTTGCTAGCATCCGGGTGCATTGGAATATCATGGAATGGTGAAATATATTGTCCTTTTTCATTTTCTGAAAGAGCAACATATTAAGATAGTAAACAAAGATGCATTAATTAGCTCTAATGAAAACAATGTAACAAACTACTGTGGCTACAAAGTTGGCTTTATTCAAATGCCTAGCTTAAGAGGTTGACTGTGCCCTGAAACTACGGATGTAAAGGTTTAACCGGTTAACCAGTAAGCATTGTCTTACCAACATGTTTACCAGGGTAACTGGTTAACTGGCATCTGGTCCAATTAAACCAGATGGGCTGGAGTAGCCCTCGCCCACACCAAGGCAGGACCTTTGTGCTGCAGGGTACTAAAGCCCTTGTATACATGGAATTGACTGTGTGTCACAAGATAGGTGTCATTTGAGGGTGTCCTGTGCCATTTCCCACCTATACTCTCCAATGTGCCACATTCTACTTCCATTATTCAAAATAGCTTTGTCTAACTACTTGAGTGTATCATATATCCGCAATATCAATTCCTCTTTAGAGTCTGAAATAGAAACATTCTAGCTGTTGGTTCTTTTAAAACGGTACTGAGATTAGAAAGCTAGACACAGTAGCATAATCTTGGAGAAGTTAAATCTTGTTATTTCCCTCATGCATTCATCTCCCGCCCTGATCCCACTTACTCATTAAACATTAGATTTTCCTAATGTTTAACCAGTTAAACTGGGACTTGACATCCCGAATAGGAAATCTACTTTACTAACTACATGCAGAAGCCTTGTTAATAGATAGGGCCTATACATTTTTTCTTCCCCATAAGTAATATAGATCACCCAGCAAGTCATAATGGTTTCAATATATATTACATATACAAAGGACCATTTTTAAAGACTAACTCTTAAAGGCTACCAGCTAGTTAATGTTGGCTAACCTCATTCATAAGTTACAATTATACATTTCCAGCTCCTTTTAGCACTGTTGTACCTGTTTTCTGGAGAGATGGGGGAGAAGCACTCTCACCTCACAGGAACAAAAAACAGGACTATGTAGCACTTTAAAGACTAACAAGATGGCTTAATAGGTGATGAGCTTTCGTGGGCCAGACCCACTTCCTCAGATCAAATAGTGGAAAAAAATTGTCACAACCATATATACCAGAGGATACAATTAAAAAAATGAACACATATGAAAAGGACAAATCAAATTTCAGAACAGAAGGGGAATGGGGGGAGGAAGGTAAATGTCTGTGAGCTAATATTAGAGCATATACTTTTTTACTGTGTTTTATCTCAGACCTCCAAGAAGAAATCACAGGCAGCGTGGCCAGCGCCGTCTCTGATTAGGGGAAGGGGGGGTGTTATAACCAGGAGAGCTGGCCAGCAGCCCGGGGACTAACGGGTTAACTAGGTCTCCTATCTCTAGCCAGGTATCTGGTTAGCCAATATGTAGTGAGTCAGCATGACCTCCTGCTGACCCAGAGAAGGAAACTCCTCTCAAAACCACTTGGTGGGTGGTGCCAGAATCACCCAGCTCCACCCACAGGAAACAGGAAGCTAAGGCTGGGGATACAAGAAGGGAAGCTCCCAGCTCAGTCAGAGTCCAGCTGCACAACAGGACAGAGGTTCTCCTCCAGAGCCAGTGGAGGAAGGCCAGGCCAAGCCGCCCTCTGCTGGACAACTGGGTTGTCAACTGGCCTAGACCGTCCTGGCTGCTGCTGGACCTGGGCTGGGATGTGGCCCTCCACCACCCTTTCCTTTGGGTGGCAGCTTCCTCCCCTGTGGACAAAAACCTCTGTGGACAAAAACCCGTGCTTGTCAGCTCTCTGCCAGCACGGAGACCTGACCCCAGACCCTGCCTGTACATCAGCTGGTGCCATTAAACCTGGTGGACTATTTACTGTTTAGAATTTACTTTATAGACTACTAGCTGGAGTGACCTGGCATTGCTCGGGAAACCGGAGGAACAAAATGTAGAAAAACAGTAGTCTTTTTTTTTAAATGGTAGAAAAGTTGCACTGATTTCTATAGGGATTAAAATATGTCACATCATCCTCAGAGGCAGGGGGGGTGCAACCCTGGGTGGAGGAGAGGTTACATGCAGGAGGGGCACCCCAGCTCGTGCCTGGGGCTGCAGGTGCAGCGGGGGGCAGGGCAGGTGCCCGAGCTGTTGTGCACGTGGGGGTAGGGCCCGGGATGGCACTGGGGACCGCAGGCAGTGGGCACGTGACCTAGGATAGGTGGGGCTGCCCCTGCAGTGCAGCGCGGCGGGTTATTTTTTATTTTTACAGGTTGAGATCAGGCTGATCAGGTCCAAAAATACCTTTAAAACCTTCTCCTGGAGGAAAGGTTGTCCCATGTAAAGTTTGGTTGAGGTAGCTCTTATAGTGTCCAAGTTATTAGAGCACAAACATACAAATGTTCTCCTTTATATATTAGATTCAGGTAGAGTCTAATTGAAAGGCCAACCCATGCAAAGTTTGGTTGCAGTAGCTCTTATAGTGTCCAAGTTATTAGTGCACAAACTTACAAACATTCTCCTTTATATATAAGACTAGCTGGACTTTCCCAGATTTACTCTGTTCCTCTGGTTTCCTGAGTTTAGAAAAGGAGGGGACCCTGAGCCAGGGGACCCCCCAGAGCCACAGACCCTGGGGGATGAAGGCTCCTGGCCCACACCTGGACCCTCTGAGAGCAGCAGGAACCTCCTCCCCACAGGATCGAGCAGCAAGCCCCCAAGAGAACAGTACACAGTCATGGGGCCAGTAGCAAGGGGATTTCTCTTTGTAAGGTTGGCTCAGGAATCCACCTGCCCTGCCTTGGCAAGCGAAAGCTCAGAGCTCACATCTAACCCCGATGGCTGGAACCAGACACAGAAGAGCACCACTCACAGCATGAACAGCAGCCGGCTGGCTTCACAGCAGTATAACACATTGAGGGTTTAACCCGGCCCCTTCCTTCTGCTCGGATAAGCCCAGCGAACTGAGCAGGCAGGCTTTGGTTTCCGGAAGGGGGAGTGGCAGGTGTGGGGTG